TGCTCTTGATCTTATTTTAATGCCCTGTCGAGAAAAATCATACAATTTATTTAGTTTATCCCTTTTCTCCTCAATACAATCAACAATATATTTAGTGGGTCCCACTACTAGTTCGCCTTCTAAATCCTTGATTTGTTTCTCTAACAGTTCTATTTCAACCCTCCTTGCGTTTGCCTTTTTCCGCGAGTATGTTATAATAAATTCTCTCATTTTCATCTTTAAAAAATCCCAAAATACTAATTTATTCAAAATCTGTATTAATGACCATTCAGCTTTTAATTCCTGTATTTCCTTATTCATCTCTTCAACAAAATCTTTATCCATACATAAACTACTGTTAAATTTCCAATATGATTTCCCCAAAACAAACTTATCAACCAGATCATTAAATTCTAGACTAACGCCAGAATGATCTGGCGTAATAGATGTCAAAATCTCACACGTACCCACCAATTTTTCAACACTACAAGGTATAAACCAATAATCTAAACGGCTTTGCACCACCGGCCAATTTTGTCGAAAAGTAAATTGCTTTACATTCGGATTTTTTTTCCTCCATATATCTTCTAAATCGTATTTATTTAAAAATTCCTTAATCAAATCAATAACCCGAGATTTCACCGGTGTTTTTGACCCCACATAATCTAATTTTCCATCCAATATACTATTGAAATCACCTCCTAATAAAACTAAATAGTCCCGATCACACTGATCAAAAATACTTTCATCTAACTTCTTCAAAAATTCAATTTGTAAAGTTTCTTTATCTCTCGTTGGAAAATAAACATTAACCAATAGCATTTTAACCCTTTGTATTTCACCTTTAAAAATAATGTATCTCCCCTCTTCATCTACTTTAATTTTTTTTCCTTCAAAATTTAAATGATTAGAAAATAAAATAAGAACCCCTCTACTATGGTTTGACCCATGACTAAAAAACATTGGCCCTCCCCAATCTTGTTTCCACCGCTCTTCTATCTCTACTGTACTATATGTTTCTTGTAAGAAAATTATACTATTCTTTTTAGTTTTGCACCATTCAAAAATATTCACTCTTTTTAACCTATCTCTTATTCCTCTAACATTTAATGTCATGAAAGATAATTTCACTGCCATGTTATTTTATGTGTAATTGTATCCAAAACCTTACATCGATAAACTCCAAAGAAACTTCCACATAATCTATTTCCACCGTGAGCAAATGTATAGAAAAAACTATCTGCAGCCAAACATACATGCATACTTATCGTCGAATTATAAAAAAAAAAAATGCAAGCAGAATCCACCCCGTACCCCACAACCCAACGCATTCATACACACAAGCATATTCACTACACACACAACACCCCCACACAAAACAACCCAAATCTGCTCTTCGGTGTACGTAAACATCCGAGAGCAAGAGCCTCCCCCTTTCCCTGTCAATTTAACTAGACCAATGACAGAATAAACCAATGAACATTTCTTCTTGCACAAGTCGATGAGAAATACGTTGTATTGTTATATAACCGTAATCTAATGAAACCAAAAAAAAAAAAAAAAAAAAAAAAATACAAAGAGCTTTTATCCCTTAACAAATGCCTTGAATTGTATTACAGAACCCGCTCGTCATAACTAAGTTAAATGATTTTCCTAAAATGCATTACAGTGAATTGACCGGCCCGCGTACCTAATCACAATACGCACCTTCTGATTAAAAATAAAAAAACACGATCCCAATAAACCAAATTCCCCAAACGACACCAGTTCGGCAACCTAATAAACTGTTCGTGCAAACCGAACCCATCATGCTATCATTTACCAAGTTCTATAATTTGCATAATATGCCTCACCCATGAATGAATAGACCGACTTCACGCACCTGATCATTTTGTATGCATTCCGTAAAAAAAAACTCCTAAAGGGCGTTCCCGACAACTCGAAAGAACACCAAACGTCAGCCCGACATAATGATAGGCAAGCATGCATACCGAATCCCAACACGTTCCTCCCTCTCAACACATCACACCACCACCTGGCTTTAAAAAAAAATAGTTTTGGCTGGGTGAACAGATCGGACCATTATCCAGATACTCGAATTGTTTTCACTTTACAGAAAAAGTTTTAAATATGTATCAGTCATTTACTAAGATATGTGAATTTACATAGAATGCGTTATCGAAATAAAGCTCATTGTAATATAAAAAAAAAAAGCCGTCGTTACCCAGATACTATGGCATTGTATAAAGGCGTTGCAATATACATCGTGAAAGAAAGCGGACGTTCAAAAGAGTTCTTCTTCTTCTTCTTCCAGTATAGTACAGTCCGCCGTTGGCGTATTATCGTACCTTGTGTTTGTGTTTGTGTTTGAGTTTATGGAAAGTACCTTGCAATAAAGCTCATTGTAATACCAAGAGCCGTGTTACCCAGATATTATGTTTTGCATAAATAGGCGTTACCACAAAGTACTTGAATATCGTGAAAGAGAACAAATCCCCAACAGACCAGCAAAGTTTATGGAAAGTACCTTGCAATAAAGCTCATTATAATACCAAGAGCCGTGTTACCCAAATATTACGTTTTGCATATATAGGTGTTACAACAAAGTACTTAAATATTGTGAAAGAGAACAGATCCCCAACAGACCAGCAAGGTTTATGGAAAGTACCTTGCAATAAAGCTCATTGTAATACCAAGAGCCGTGTTACCCAGATATTATGTTTTGCATAAATAGGCGTTACAACAAAGTACTTAAAAATCGTGAAAGAGAACAGATCCCCAACAGACCATCAATACATTTACCCCTCTATCTGAATTTACATAGACTTGCGTTATAAAATAATGAAATAGTCAATATACTGTTTAAGCATGTTTTGAGGGACATATTTCTTCTCACTTCACGCATGCATGCTTAGGGTTGTAATACAAATCCTGCTACAATTCTTTTTGTTTTCTTTTTTTTAAATACCAAGTTATATAATTTGCATATCATGCGTCACAAAATGATAAACAAATGATGAAACACTACTGCCAATTCGAAATAGCACCAGGGAATGTATCCGGACCGGTCCCCAAGCATTTTAGCCCCCTCAATAAACAACACCACCTGGCACCATTGAAATATTTTGGAAACCTCACTCCTACACATACTTAACCCCTTTATTCCACAAGTGGCAAAGCTTAGAAAAGGGAACTGAAACCAACAGCCCTTGGCGCGACAATCTTATTAAAATATTATTATTGCTTTGGTTAGAACAATTAATGAACAAACTCTGGCAACAAAAAAACAAAAACAAAAAAAAAATTGCCTGAAAAACCCCCCTTTTTTCTCAATGTTGTCACTTCATCTCCGATACTCAACATTTAAGGCATTATGGAGACGGAGTTGCACACAAATCAAACCTCGCCTTCCACATACCCAACAACGATGAGAAACCCGAGGCTTCGCTTTATATTTCATATACACTGAAGAAAGAAAAAAAAAATGTGTGTGATATTAACTCTTGGTAAACGTACGATAATCTTCTCAAGTTTTGTATCATTTTTTTTAAAACTAAAGAAACGAACAGAATATGTATATATGTATATACATCCTTTTCTTCCTCTTTTTGAACAATAATTAAAAAAAAAAAAAAAAATATGCATGTAGAAGAACCAGTGATAAACTGATTAATACTTCATAATCAATATTGGCAATATCGATATTACCAATTAGGTAATACCAATAGAATATACTTTTTTTGGTGGACAGTTGCTAAAATCGATTTAGATTTGTCATTATTGATTGACAATGACTGCTCCTTCCTGCCCACACACACACACACACGCACACACACAATATACTATCACACAACACACTCACACACTTGTACACAGAGATTTTATAAACATATTTTCCTTCTAAATTTCACCTTAAGATTTTTCTTTTGAGGCCGGCATCGTAGTCAAGCATTGCTTACGATTGCGGTCTCCTGCACGTTTTCCACAGATAGTTCGAATGATATATTGTTAATTTATAATAATATGTACTAGAATATGAAGTTCCGTTGTGTAAATTATGTAAATAATATTTTGAAATTAAGTTTATATTGTTTATATATTTTGTGGTGAGGTGAAATAAAATCCAAGACTCCAGGTCCCCTTGAATTTTGAAAGCAAACAATGTGGGACCCAGATAGTTAATATTCTCACGGTTAACGACAATTATTCTTATTTGTTCAACGTCTCTACAATGCTTCTGAAATAAACAACATTTTTTAAATGCTAGCCTGCCTGGGAGAAGTTTTAATTGTTGTAAAGAAATGTCTGGACTGCACCTAGTAGGCTGGTTCAAATGTGTTTTTCTGACTTCTTTTCAATAACAAGATCGAGCACGTATGCGATTTAGTGGGTGCGAACCAATATTTCTTTACAACAATGTGGTACAATTTAATGTAGCGTGAAATGGCATTCAAATTGCACATACATTCATTAGTACTAGATTTAATCATTTAAGCTCAAATCTAGCAACAATCATTCGCCATTGCTACGCTCACTCTTTCATGAATCATAATCATTTTGTTTTAAGGTTGATTTCACTGATAGGAAGATTTAGCAGAGAGGGATATAAGTGAATATGTTCAAGGTTAACGAAGACGCATCATTATTCTTATTTGTTCAACAAATGTCGAATATTGTGAAGACAATAAACAGCACTTTGGTACTATTTTTTATGTAGCGTTACATGCCATCCATTCGGTTTGAACACTGGGCCATACCCTCTCTGCATCTCTCCCTCTCTGTCTCCCTCTCGTTCTCTTGCTCTGTCTTGCTCTGTCTCTACCTCTCTCTCTTGATCTCACTTTATTCTCATTTTATCATCGTCTCTTACTCGAGTTACGCTCGTTTCATGACCTTTAATCAATTTTCTTTCATTTCCGTGTTTACGACATAATAATAAATTGAACCCCGCCCCCCTCCCCCCCCCCACCCATCAAAACGACCGAGTTCATTTCCTACACTTCAAAGTTTGCTGTTCTTACCTTCGTATTTTGAAGTCCGAAAGAAAGTTCACCTCCTCCTGGGGTCTAAATGGCTACCATCCAAAGTAAACCGAACCTGACTGCACGAATGCCTTCATAAAGCCAACGATAGGCATGATTAACGTCGCGCAAGATGAGCAAATAGAGGGGGATGTATTGATCCCTTGTCTCTGCATGATGCAGATTTATTGACAAAAGATAACGATTGGCATAACTTGGCAGCCCGCTTCACCCATGTACACTCATTATCGCTTCGTCGCCATTTTGAAAGAGCAGACAGGGGCGTCGCTAGACCTTTTTCAGTGGGGGGTGTAGAGGCCAACGATAACCGACAAAACTAGCGACCAATTACCGACAAAATTAAATGTCCAATATTTACAAATTTAACCCTATAAACCCGGGGCCGAAGGCTAAATTGTTTTTCCTATGGACTATCTATAGTACTTGCATATGCCCAAATGGTCATTTTCCTCGACGACATAAATATACGAATTATTTCGTCAACTTAGTCAGCATCATAGCTGATATATTTTAATGCAGGCGCGGAGCTAGGATCTTATTTTAGGGAGGGCGGTAGTGAGCAAGCGAATCACTTAAAGAGCGCTCATCAGGGGGTGTGGGTGATAGGCCTCTAAATTATTAGGAAAAGAAGACGATTTAATGTACCTTTCTCGACTCTTAATCCTTGTCTAAATGAAGTTTCCTTTCCCCCCCCCTCCCGCGCGAAGCGCGAAAGCTTTGACGTTTCATTAAATTATGTTGAAAAGAAGACGATTCGTTGAACCTTGCTCGACTCTAAATCCTCGTCTGAATGAAGCTTCATTAAATTATTAGAGAAAGATGACGATTCGTTGTACTGTTCTCGACTCGTCTCAATGAAGTTTTCTCCCTTCGCGCGAAGCGCGGATTTTTTTTGGGGCGTTTTATCACAATATATAAAAAGGAAGACGATTCGTCGTACCGTTTTCGACTCTTATTACTCCTTATTCATCTGAATTCAGTTTCCCCCTCTCGCGCGAAAGCTTTGACGTTTCATTAAATTATTAGAGAAAGAAGACGATTCGTTTGTACCGTTTTCGACTCTTAATAAGCCCTATTTGGTGTACTGTTTTCGACTCTTAATTCTTATCTGAATTTAGTTGTCCCCTTTCGCGCGAAGCGCGGAGGTTTTGACGTTTCCTTAAATTATTAGAGAAAGTAGACGATTCGTTGAACCGTGCTCGACTCTTAATCCTTGTCTGAATAAAGCTTCCCCCTCCCGCGCGAAGCGCGGAAGTTATGACGTTTCATTAAATTATTAGAGAAAGAAGACGATTCGTTGTACCGTTTTCGACTCTTAATAAGCCCTATTTGTCTGAATTCAGTTTCCCCCTTTAGCGCGAAGCGCGGAAGCTTTGACGTTTCCTTAAAATATATTAGAGAAAGAAGACGATTCGTTGTACCGTTCTCGACTCGGCTAAAAAAAGTTTTCCTCTTCCGCGCGAAGCGCTGATTATTTTTTTGGCGTTTCATCACAATATAGAGAAAAGAAGACGATTCGTCGTACCGTTGTTGACTCTTGAACCTTGTTTGAATTTAGTTTCCCCGAAAATTTTAAACCTCTGATTTCTTTAGCTGATAATATAGGAAAGTGAAACTTCGAGAAAATACAAGTATTGTAGTTGTAGTCACTCTCGAAGTCGTCACAGCGGATAAAAAGTCACAGTTCGTAGGGAAAAAAACTTGTCGGCCGACCGACAATATACATCTCACCGACTTCAAACTTCTGCATTGATATAGTACACGAGGATCGAGCAAGAATACCGACACAGCTGGCCCGACATAGCAACATATTTACCCGTGTCTTTCTTGCTCCCTCGACGAGACGACTCCACCCAACAACCCCCTTCTCTCTTTTACTCCCACTCCTCCTCTCTCAGGCTCTTACCTCTCCTCTCTCTCCTCTCTTTCACCCCCGTTTCTTTTGTTTCCCTTTTTAATCTTTTTTCTTCTTTTTTTCCCCTTTTCTTTCTTTTCCTTTCTTTCCTCTCCTTCCTCTTTTTCTTTTTTCTCTTTCTTTCTTCTCTTTTCTTTCCTTTCTTTTCCTTTCTTTCTTCTCTTTTTCTTTTCTTTTTTCTTTTCTTTCCCTTTCCCTCTCTTTTTTTCCCTCCCCCTTTTCTCTTTTTTCCCGACGGCAGCGCAATTTTACCGACAATATCGTGACAGGTGGGGGTGTCGCACCCCCCCCCCACACCCCCCCCCCCCTTTGGCGACGCCCCTGAGAGCAGAGTGATATGTATCCTTAAGAAGGATGGGCCCCGAGGGAGAAAACATAAGAAAAATACTAATAATAGACATTTCTAAAGCGCCGTCTTTCTATGGATTCTATTCCGAGGCGCGTTAGTATTACACCGGCTCTAGCCTAGCTGTCATTACAGCGCTCTAGCATTTCAAGGAATTAATTCCTGGCCAGGTACCCATTTAACTCACCTGGGTCGAGTGTGGCAAATGAATATTAATGCCTCGCTAAAGGACATTAGTGCCGTATAGGGGATCGAACCACGACCTTTGAATTTTTATAGTCAAGTGCTTAAACTCCTCGACTACGACACTTCTACCTTATCCTCCCCGGATGACCTCTTCCGAGTGCTAGAATGGGATGAGGAGAAACTGCTGAAGTCTGACCTATTCCTTGAGTTGGAGGCCTAGGACATTGCCGACCCTCTTCGGAAAGAATGTTCGTCACTATTATATCTGTAGCCTCAACGTCAATGGACTTCAAAGTAAATTCAATGCTGGCATTCTGGACTTCATTTTGAAAGATAACAGCATCATTTGATTATCAGAAACTATAACACACGCTTCTGATTTATACTGCACTTAACTTTCAAAAATGAAGAATTAATAGATTCATACATGACGGAAGTAGAAATACCACGTCTAAATAGACACGAAGCAGATGCATGCGAAGGGCTCGTTACAATGGAAGAGATTACTGAAGCGATAACAAGTATGAAACCTAATAAAGCACCAGGGCTCGACGGTTTAAGCGTAGAATTTTATAAAGAATTTTGGTCAGAAGTAAATGATCTGGTTCTTCATAGTTTGAACGAGTCTTTTGAGAAAGGACACTTAAGTTATTCACAAAGGAAAGGCGTTATTACTTTATTGTTTAAAGGTGGAGATAAACAGGAACTTGACAATTGGAGACCAATAACTCTTTTAAATATAGACTACAAGATATTAGCGATGGTTTTGACCAAAAGGTTACAAAATGTGTTAGCAGACATTATTAATGAAGATCAAGTAGGCTATTTAAAGGGTAGAAGCGGTATTTATAATGCTAGACTAGTTCAAGACGTGGTTGACTACCATCATTTAACGGCTAAAGATGGGGCAATTATTTTCACAGATTTTAGAAAAGCTTTCGACTCGTTGGAATGGATATACATTGACAAGTGTTTGCAGTTATATGGTTTTAGGCAATCCTTTCGGCAATGGATTGGATTGTTATATTCAAATCCAAGCTTATCAGTTACAGTAAATGGATGGTTTACTGGTAATATTAAACCATCTAGAGGCATAAGGCAAGGTTGTCCCCTGTCTGCCCTACTTTTTATCCTGAGTGTCGAAGTTTTAAGCAACAAAATAAGACAGAATGTAAATATTAAAGGTATTACTATCGGAAGACACAAAACAGAAATTAAGGTAGCTCAACTGGCTGATGATATGACAATTTTTGTACAAGACGTTGAATCTGGAAGGAAGGTAATAAATGTGATTGAAAATTTTGAAAGGGTATCAGGAATACATTTAAATACGAATAAAACTAAAGCTATATGGTTGGGCAAAACTCCTCCTTCAGAGACAATAAAGAATATAAGTTGGTGTGATACTTTTGTTAAATCTCTGGGTATATACTTCAGTAAGAATAAATCTTTGAGTGTGAATATGAATTGGTCTCAAGAAAGATTCATTAAAATACAACAGCTTTTAAATTCTTGGAAACGGAGGAACTTGACATTTAAAGGGAAAGTAATTATCTTAAAAAGCCTTGTTATTTCAAAATTGATTTATACAGCTCAAATTTTATCATGTCCTATGGAATGGATAAAAGCGTATGAAAAGTTATTTTATAACTTTTATGGGGTAATAGAGCAAAAGTGAAAAAAGAAAACATGATAAATACTCTTCAAAACGGAGGCATGAATATGGTCGACATGTGTACGCAATTTATGTCTTTACAAATAAAATGGTTGTTTAGCTTCTTAAGTTTTAAAGAAATCCAAGAAAAGAAAGGGAAGTGGATAATTTTTTTTTAGTATTGGATTGAAAAACTGGGAGGGATTGATATTATTATGAACTGTAAATGTTTACCAAAATATGTGACTTCTTATAGAGGGAAAATACCTGATTTTTATTGTGACTTACTTTGTACATGGTTTACTGTAAAGCAAATTAATTATGTAAAAGATATACACCACACCTATGGAAGTGTTACAAAAGAAATGATTTGGTTAAATTGTGATATCAAATTTAAAGGAAAACCATTGTTGTATAAAAATTGGATAAAATCGGGTATATTATTTTTAGGGGATATAGTGATAGGAAATAGATTTTTGACAGTCAAAGAATTGAAAGATAAACTTATCTATTATGATGGTAGATGGTTGAGTGAATATGCAAAAATAAGAACCGCAATACAACAAAGATGGAGGCGAATCATAAAATATGGCGAACAAGTTTATGATTTCAACGATTACAAACGTAAATTAGCTATATACTCTAATTTGAATTTAAATAGTTTTGAATTGTCAATACACTCTATTACTGTGAAAAAAGTATATACGGAACTCATAAAATTAATCCAAAAACCATCTAGGGCGGTAGACTTCTGGAACAAAACCTTACAAACAAATGTTACTATAAAGTGGGACTCTTTATGGTTATTTAAATTGAAATATGCTCGTGATAATTGTTTGATACAATTCAACTTTAAATTTATGTATAATATTTTACCAACACCTGTTAATTTATTCAAATGGAAAATCAAAGAAAACAATTTGTGTTATTACTGTAATAAACCTGGTACTATTATACATGTATTTTT